ATGCGTCCCATTGGTTGGGGGCTCAGGGTTTTAACTCCAGCTTACAGAGTGCAGCCCTGAGCCACAGAGAAGTCTTGCCAGATCTTGAAGCCTCATGGAACTTGCCCTGCTGGATTTGAGCTCAACTTGGGACCAGGGACTCCATTTATTCCTCTTTCTTTTTCTCTTTTGGAATGGGAATCTTATGCTGAGCTCATCACTGTCCCTTGGAGGCATATTCTCTAGTTCCATAGTTGCACAGGTAAATAGGAATTTTGCCCGGAATGGATTGAACCAGGGTCTTACCCATGCCCGGTTTCGATAATGAGTGCTAGGATTTTGAGCTGAAAATAACTTTTAGACGAGAGGCTGCGTGCAGTGGCTCACACCTATAATCCCAGCACTTTGGGAGGCTGAGTGGGGTAGATTGCTTGAGCCCAAGAATTTGAGACGAGCCTGGGCACCATGGCAAAATCCTTGACTCTACCAAAAGTACAAAAAGTTAGCCGGGTGTGGAGGCGTGCATCCGTAGTCCCCACTGCCCAGGAGGCTGAGATGGGAGGATGGCTTGGGCCTGGGAGGTTGAGGCTGCCGTGAGGCGTCATAGGGCCCCTGCACTCTCCAGCCTGGGCAACAGAGTGAGACCCTGTCTCCACATCTTTAGGTGGGAATTTGGACTGAGTTGATGCTGTGATGGTTGGGACTTGGGGGCTGTAGAGTGCAGTGAACACACGCCGTACACGGATGTGGTGGGTTAGATGGCCTGGAAAGAGCATCTTTGCAGAGGTAACTAAGCTAAGGACCTCAAGATGGGACCATCCTGGAGCGCGGTGGGCCTAAGTCCAATGACAAGTGTCCTTACAGAGGAAGAAAGGGGCGGAGCACACAGATGAAAAGGTGCCAAGGTGCCATGATGATGGTGGTGGCAGGGGCTGGGGTGGTGGGTCCCTACACAGAGCTGAGCACTGAACTCGTGCTCGGCCCGGCGCACTGCAGCGGGGGTGAGGGCTTGTTCCTAGCGGCTGCAGCCCATCCTGCGTGTCGTGTCCCTGTGCTCCTTCCCAGTCACTAGGTGGCCACATGACCTTTAGAATCAATACTGTCGCCATAGCGACCAAGTGTCCCTGCACGTGAACTCCATGGCCCTGGCCTTCCAGGAATCCTCAGTCGCAGGCCCCGCCAGGGCTGAATCTGAGGGTGCCACAGCTGGAACCATCTGTCTTCCATTTCTCGGAAGGGAGGCTATCCATGGATTCTCCGTGTAGGTGACACCCAGCATCGGAATCCCATTTCCTGTTTTGGGAGTCAGTTCTGAGATGTGTTTTCCAGCAGGAAACAGCACCATGAATTGGGTGATGTGGGGAGATTTAATAGAAGGACACTTAACAAAGGCGTGGGCAGAGCACACGCGGTAATTTCAAAATGATGACAGAAGACAAAGCACACGTTAAAACTGGTGTGACCGAGCTGTGTGCCAGTTATGTGGTGATGGCTGACCCGTGTCCAAGGCATGTCCCTCAGGAGGCTTGGCTGTATGGAAGAATCACAGACAATTGCACATGAAACCTGGTGTCAGGGACTGCACCTTGTACACCAAACCACCCCCAGCCCTTCGGCACGTGCTGTGGCCACACACTCGCTGTCCTGTAGCGCAGACCCTCTGTCCTCCCACACGAGCCCGTTTCTACCTTAGGGCCAGTTCCTGCTGCTGGAACCCAGACTCCTGGCCTTTCTCAGGCTACTTGTTCTTGCTCAGGCCTCAGCTTCAGGGCCACCTGCTCAGACTTGTGCTGGACACTCCAGCTAAAGTGGTCCCAGGATCATGCATATTCTGTCCTGTCTGTGGGCTCCTGCATGCTAGATGTCAGGTGCACTGAATGCATTTATCTGTCACACTGTCACTCGGTCTCCTGTCACTGGAAGGGGCAGACAGGGTCGCTGCCCCAAGGAAGCTGATGTTCCTGCACAGCCTGGGCACGCAGGGAAGCTCAGGAGTGCTCTGCTGGCCCCACCGCCCCTTTCCATCCACAGCTGGCCTGTCCCAGCCTCAGTCCCTCCTGGCACCCCCCCCAGAACTTCAGAGCTGCCTCCCATGAGGCAACAGGACTTGGCGAGCTCCTGGGTGCAGCGGCTCCTGACCTCTCCTCTGTCTCATGCCCACCCTGTGGACCCCTTACACTCTGTCTTGTGTCTTGTGTCTTGTGCTTGCCTGGACTCTGTGCTGTGCTGGGCAGGGGGTCACCTGGACAGCCCAAGAGTTGTGCCCTGAGCCCACAGGCCCCTGCAGGGCTGATCTGCATTGGCCAAATCTTAGGACCCAGCATTCTTTTGGGAGCTGCTGTTTCCCCACAGCCTTCCCATTTCCTGACCAAGGGGCAGGTGCCTGGCTTGGTGTTTGAGGCTCACAGCAAGGTGCTGTTGGAGGGTCTCCTAGTTTGGTGTGCAGACGTCCCATGACCCCTCTGGCCCGCTGCACTCTGTCTTCTGCAGGACTTGGTGTCCCTGGGTCAGGGCTCCCTTTGGGTCCTCTGTCCAGAGGAACATCCAACCTGAACTACCCGGGCCTGGGAGGCATCCTGGACTCTGGCTGTATTTACATTCTCCCGCCTTTCAGGGTCCAGGTTACCTGCAGTCCTCACACTCTCCACTCTTCAGAGCTGCCTTTCTACCTGCTGTCTGAAGTACATTAACATGTTCTCCCTTCTCCTGTCCCCTCTTTGGTTGTGGTGGGGACGTTATAGCTGTTGTTCATTTTCTGCCACTTTTAGGGGTCAGAGGGAGGGGAGGAGAGGAGGTTATGTATGTTCAGAGGCTGTGCATTTTGGGAGGAGCCCTGGGGAGTCTGATGTGTGCGCTGGGTGTGCAGAGTTCCAGGCACTGCCCTGCCTCGGTGCCTCCCCTTCCAAACGCGCCTTCATCGGTCCTGTTGGGATGGGCACCGAGGGCTTCCTCAGGCAGATGCTGAACCTGCTGCTTTCTGCGTGCCTACTGGAGAATGGCAATTTCGAGGGAGAGCAGAGGACAGTGCTGTGTGGCTGCAGGGACTGGGAAGTCGGCTCTGTGCACCAGAAGTTTAGTTAAGAGACTGATGCGTCTGTGCTAGCCAGGGAGGGAGACCTGCGGTGGCTGGTGGGTCACGTAACCTAGGCTATGCTGCCATAAAAATACCATCTAAATCTCAGCAGTGAAATGCATGCTATTTCTCCTTGTTCTATGTGTCTTAGGCGGCTGCGTGTCCTAGGCAGGTGCATGTCCTACGGGTGTGCGTGTCCAGGCGGGTGCATGTCTAGGTGGGTGCCTGTCCCAGACAGGTGGTTCCATGTCCTAGGAGGGTGTGTGTCCTAGGCGGGTGGGCAACGGCTCCATTCCTTGCAGTCCCCAAGGGATGGGACTCCTGTTGGCTCAGAAGCCACACAGACTTCCTGTGCTCACATTTCATGTGTCAGGCAGTTAGGGTAGGTGACCACCCTGAATGTCAAAGGTCAGGAGAGGCAGGGCCCACGGTGGCTGAAGGGCTGGGTTGACAATTGTGCGAGATGGGATGGGTCGGGGCGGGAGACAGGGGCAGGCAGCAGGAAGTCTCCTCCAGGATTTCACAGGGGAGGAAGGGACCCGGGTTTTGTGGCCTTGCTACAGGGAAGTACCTAAGGAAGTAAAAACTTTATAAAGTCAAACAACCCGGTACCAAAAACCGATTCTTCAGTGACAAACTCTAGGGGCAGGCGGCGAGGTTCCATGCAGAGCCGCGCCTTCTCCAGGGCACTGCACGTGCCCAGCGCTTTCAGCGCACACGGTCGCACCTGGCCCTGCGCAGGGGCGGAGGCACCCGGAGGTTAAGCCGCGCCCCAGGCCTCCGAAATATGCCGAATGCCCGAGGCCCCTGCCGCATCTGGGCCACTCGGGCACCTGTTCTCAGGCCAGGCAGGGGTCGCGAGGATGGGGCGGGGGTGCCCGAGAGCGCGGACGCACGTGCTCAGGGGGCAGCGCCCACCCTGGGCGCCCCCGTGTGCGCGCTCGCAGCCAGGCCCGCCCCGCCCCACCCTCTGGCGCAGCGCTCGGGCGCCGCCTGCAGCCTCCTGACCGTGAGCCTGGCCCTGCACGGCCGATTCCCGCCGCCCGCATCCCGGGCCTGCAGCCCGGCCTCACCCTGCGCAAAGCAGAGGGCTGGAGCCTCAGACTCCTCGCCCCGGGCGGCGGAGGCCGCGCGCCGGCTGTTTTCACCAAGGAGGCAGGGGAGGGAGGCCCGCGGAGACCGCGAGAAGGTCCTGCCACCGTGCCCGGCAGCGCTGTCTCCGTGCCAGGGACGCCGAGCTTCCGGGCCCGGGATACCGGTGGGGACGCTCCCTGCCTCCCTCGCTGTCGTCCCCGCCGTCTAGTCGGAGCCGTGGTCCCCGTGTCCTGGCGAACCACAGCCCCCATCCCCAGACTGGAGGCGGCCACCCGGTCTCGAGCGACACTCTGGGTGCCGGCTCCGCCCAGGCCCCGCCCCCACGCCTCCTCGGAGCCCCGCCCAGGCCCCGCCCCCACGCCTCCTCGGAGCCCCGCCCGGCTCCGCCCCCTCCGGAAGCTCCGCCCCTTCCCCGCCCCCTGCACTCGCAGGCTGCGGGGCGGGTTCCGCGGCCCGGGAGAGCGCACGGCGGGCGCTGCGGGCCCCGAGCGCTCCCGCCGCCGCCGCCGCCGCCGCTCCCGGCCCTGCGGGCCGGCCATGCCCGGTGCTCCCGCCGCGGCGCGCACCCAGGCCCGGCAATGAGGAGCGGCGCCGAGCGCAGGGGCAGCTGCGCCGCGGCGCCTCCAGGCTCGCCGCCCCCCGGCCGCGCGCGCCCCTCCGGCTCCGACGCGCCCCCGGCCCTGCAGCCGCCCGCTGCCGGCCAGTCCCGGGCCCGGGACTCGGGCGATGCCCGCGCGCAGCCGCGCCCCCTGTTTCCGTGGAGCAAGTGGAAGAAGAGGATGGGCTCGTCCATGTCGGCGGCCACGGCGCGGAGGCCGGTGTTTGATGACAAGGAGGACGGTGAGTGCGGCTGCGGGGAACGCGTGGGGGCCTGGCGCTCTCGTGGGGGCGGACGCGGCGGGGCGGCTTTTCCCCGCGGCGTCCACCCGGTGGGACGGCGTGCCGGGGTGCGCCGGCTTCCGGAGCAGCTCCACGCGAGTCTGGGGCGCCAGCCGCGTCCTCCGTTTCCCGTGGCGGCGCCGCGGGCGGAGCAGGCTGGGCGGGGGGCCCGCGAGGCGAGGGTCTCCCGGGCTGTGGCGGCCCCGGGCTTGTGCGCGCCTCTGCCCACCGCCCGCCCCAGCCCGGGTCTTCCGCCCTCCGTATCCACTCGCCCGGGCCCACGTGCGGGCTCGGTTGTACTTTGCTGTTAGGAGGCGCTCACCTGTGCGGAGTGCCTGCCCCACAGGTGGCGGCCCGGCCGCTGCGAGGCCCGGTCCCCGTGGTGACCGCGTGGTGTCCCGCCTCGGCACAGCCATGTGTGCTGGAGGCAGGGCCTGGCCTCTCAGGAACGAGTGCGCAGTGAAGTCGTGCAGTAAAGCTACCAAGCCCGGGGACTGGTGTCTCGAGTGACCGAGCAGCAGTGGGCTGCCGGCAGAAAAGGCCGGGCGAGGAGACAGGGTTCCCCCGACTTAGCGCTTGTCCGGAGGTTCCGCGTGGCGTCTGCGGGTGGACACTGTAATACAGTCACCTGCAAACATACAGCTCTTTTCTACAGATGCCATGTAGATTATTTGAAACGGTGCAACGATGACACCTTTCATGTTTTTTTGACATTTTCTTAATATAATTGAAGTGTGCATTTTTCATTTGTAGGCAGCCTGCAGAGGTATGATGGATCTTTTGTGATTTTAGAGCACAGTGCTTAGGAGCCCAAGCTATTTACTTGGGATAAATAATTTAAGCATTATGGGAAATTACAATAATATGACCTTGGGCCAGCGTTGGTAAGTGCGGGGCTGTGCACCGGTGTTCCTCCTGGAGACAGCCACCGGGGATTGATGATGTGCTGCCCAGGAAGAGGGCTGGAGGCCCAGCCACACCAGGTCCCGCACCTTCCAGGGTGGCCGTCACTGTTTCCTGAACTTCGGGAGAGCAGAACTCACTGTGGTGAATGTTTAATACATGTTTTTGTTTTTAACATAAATGTTCAAGCTAAAGAAAGCCCAGAGTGAACTAGGCCCTAATCAGGAGGCAGATTTGCATCTAGTTTCTGGCTGCAGATGAGAGAAGGTCTGGGAAACGCATCCCGCTCAGCGCTTGCTGGTGTCGGCCACGAGCTGGCTGCTCTTCTGGGTCTCTGCGAGTTGCTCTCCAGTGCGGCCGAGGTGGGACTGGAAGCAGTGATGTGGCCCTGGGTGGCCTTCGCTTTTTAAGTTAGACACGTGTTCACAGTGTGTTATGTCACAGAATTCAAGGATCACTAGAAAGGCAAAAAGAGCATAGAGTGTGTCTGTGGGGCTCACAGTCTGACTTGGGGGTCATTTTGTCACTGTATTTACCTAGCGTAGGGTGGTGTGGTGGAGGTCTCAGCTGACGTGTCCCATGGACCCCGGCTCCTTATGACGTGGCATGCAGCCACATCCCACGCTGAGCGCCTGCCGGGACTTAGCTGGGCTTTCTGTGGTGAAATCGGGAGGGCAAGGCCGGCCACTGGCCCAAATAGCAGAGGACATTCTCTGGGCAGGTGACTGCTTCGTTCCCCTTCTTCTGGTCATTGGCGGGGCGCAGACAGCTTGGGAGTCATGGCACAGTGTTTGCAGAAGAATGTGGTGCAGCACTGCGTGAAAGCCGGGGGGAGTGACGCTGTTGGAAGGAGAAAGGTGAGTCTTTTAGGAGGGGACTGTGGCATGAGCCCCAGCTCTTTCCGGTTGGCCAAGTCACTCCTGGGCGCTTCGGTGGCCCCACGCAGCAGCACTGGCTTCAGGAGGCCCTGAGGCTGTGGTGGGATTTCCGGTTTACTGAAGCTGCACGGTTGCTATGGCAACGCGAGGCCTCCCGATGAAATTTTTAGGTTAAAACACCTAATTAATATATCGAATTTAGTATGCGAAAAGTAAGTGCTGTTTAACCAAGTGCCAGGTAAATTTCAACTGCTAGGCATGGTTGTCACATAGAAGATCATAAATGTCCTCAGTCCCTTTTGGTCCGCGTGGACTCCAGAGCCGTGCTCCTAATTGGCAGGTGTTGGGTGCAGGTACAGGATTCTCTACACCTCTTTGTCATCGGTTTTCCTTCCCCTCAGCCCCCCACATCCTCCCATTCTATCCCTTCTCTGACTTGGGTGGGAAATTCTTTTTTGGGGTTGAAGCTGGTTAGGGAGCATCGTGCCAGAGCTGCATGGCGTTGGGCGAGCCCCTTCATTCCTCTCTGTCTCGGTGTCCTGGTGATACCAAGTGAGCCTGAGAGGAGGCTCTGGCACCTTCCCGCTGAGCGGCTCAGTGACCTGGGGTCTCCAGCGTTGTGTCTGCAACCAGACGTGGCATTAGCCCAGCAGCAGGAAGCAGCCCTTCACCCAGGGGGTTTGCCTTCATCCGGGAAGGCTGGAGTAATGACAGGCCCTCGCAGGCTGGGCTCGGCAGGCCGTGAGGCAGGACCAGGGGCTACCGGCCTCCTCAAGTCATCTCTTCAAATTAAAAACACTGTTGTTTTTTCTTAATTATAAAAGCATCAAAATGTATGCGTTTAAAAACATTCTATACTTTGTGCCAAGGTATCTGTAGCTTCAGCACTGAGAGAGCACGGTGAAGGTTTCGGTGTCACCTCCCAGCCTTTTCCTGGCAGTGCAGGTGCAGCTGTGGAGAAACGCGCTCTCTCTGTGAGCAGAAGCGGGATCCTGCCCTGCACGCTGATTTGTCACAACGTGCTTGTGGATTCAGTGTGTCGCCAGCGTCTTACAGACCGAATGCATCGTTTGTTGGCTGAATTTACAACAGTTCTCAACCCCAGGCTGTATTTTAGAGTCATGCACTGGGCCCTCTTAAAAATGCCCAGGCCCCACACCTATGAACTGCGGGCGAACTGGGGGGCTTGGGGGGCTGGGGGTGGGCTCTGGGCTCAGAAGGCCCCACACCCATGAACTGCAGGCGAACCGGGGGGGTTGTTGGGCTAGGGGTAGGCTCTGGGGCTCAGGCTTGTCTTTAAGCCCCTTTTGAGTTTTACCAGCAGCCGGGGCTGAGAATCCCGACTCTGCAGTGTTCCTCTCAGCAGCTGTGACGTTCTCTGCTTACTTAGCTTCCTGTCACAGAGCAGTGAGGTGTTTCTATTTTATAAATATCCTAAAGATGCACCGATGAACATCTTTGCACATTCGTCTTTGTGCACTTGGTGTTGTTTCCCTAGGATACATTTTAGGACTGACATTGCCCGGGCAAAGGGGTCCGTGTGAAATACCTTGGCATGTGTGGCCTCTCACTTGGTCCCTCCATGAGCCTTGGATGTGGGCCCTGCAGTCGTGGGGTGACCAGGCAGAGGGAAAGCAGGGAGGATGACGAGACGGGGAGGCAGGAGCAAGTGCAGTGGATGGCAGGAGATGCCCGGAGTGGGGCAGCAGGAAGGGGAAACCCATTTTCACGTACTCCGGGAGTGGACGGTTTGAGAGCCTTTCCCCCGAATCCTCGCCCACTTTGGGTGTCAGCAATGTTTCTGCTTTTTGCCAGTCTAAGATGAAAAGATGGCACTCATATGCTGAGTTTCTTTGATTACCAATGAGGTTAATCATCTTTTTGCCCGACACGTTTGGAGCATTTTCAGGTTTCTTTTTTTAGAATTGCGTGCTCGTGCTTGTTAGCAGCCTGCGTGCTGAGCGGTGGCAGCCCCAGCTTCCCCTCGCCCTTCCTGGAGAGTTCGGCGGCTGAGCCTTCCACGGCTTCCCGTCCACGTTCCCGTTCATCTTTTAATGTTGCTACTTGGTGTTTCTCTCTCTGGATGTGTTTAGTTTGTGTGTGGTCAGACTCATCATCCGCCTTCGTGGCCGCTTCCGGCCTTGCTGCTACGTGGCAGAAGTCCTTCCCAGCACAGTTAAGAAGAGTTTCAGGAACCTGCATCTGTACTTTCTTCTAGTGCTTCTGTGGTTTCCCTCGTTGTGTTGGAAATGAAAACCCTTAGAGAGTGGCACGTCAGGGAGACTGAGGAAGCTGTCCTCTTCTTCCGTGAGCCCTCTGCTTTCCCAGCGCGAGCGTGGTCAGGATGTTTCCACACGTACAGGTCTGAGGGTTCCGTGCAGCCCCTCGCCACAGAGCCCGGGCGGGCTGTGCCCTTGCTGCTCCTGGCCTGGGGGACTGGTTGCTGATTGACGCTGGACTGAGCTGGTCATTTCCACACTGGGTGCTGCTGGCATGAAGGAGTGCTCCACTTTCACACCATTCACCCTCCGTGTGGCCAAGACCTCGCCACCTGTGGCACATGACTTCACTTTGCTAAATTCTCGGTTCTTCTCTCTTTAAAGTTCATTTTCAGCTGGCACTGTGGCTCATGCCTGTAATCCCAGCACTTTGGGAGGCCGAGGCAGGTGGATCACGAGGTCAAGAGATGGAGACCATCCTGGCCAACGTGGTGAAACCCCATCTCTACTAAAAATACAAAAATTAGCTGGGCGTGGTGGCATGCACCTGTAATTCGAGAGGCTCACCTGTAATTGGGAGGCTGAGGCAGGAGAATCACTTGAACCCGGGAGGTAGAGGTTGCAGTGAGCTGAGATGGCGCCACTGCACTCCAGCCTGGCGACAGAGCAAGACTGTCTCAAAAAAAAAAAAAAATTCATTTTGTTGGTTTTCTGGGTGGTCTGTCATGTCACCTCGGAGTGACTCTAGGGACCCCGTGATGGTTTTGCCTCACTCTTAGGGCGTTGCCGGAGCTCACGGGGCAGAGGAGAGAGAAGGCGCTGAGGCCAGGGGCTGCTGAGGCTGCGGACAGCTCCTCCTGTGTGGTCTGTGTGGGCGGGTCATCCTCCAAGAGCATCAGCTTAGCCCTGGGTGGGGAGACTCTCTCCAGCAGGCGCAGACTCGCATTTTGGAGGGTGCCCTTCTCTTTCCCTCCTGACCCTGCAAGGCAGGGGTTGGGGTGAGGGTGGTGGCTCTCTGTGTGGTCCAGACACCCATCCCTGGTGGTCGGAAGCCTGGTGACTGCAGAGGGCCCTGGTGTGGCACGCAGATGGGGGAGGAGGCCTGTGGTCCTGGCCTGCCGGGCCCCCCTCACATGTCTGTACCTGGCTTCCCCAGTTCTGGGCCCAGGACCGGGTGTCCCGGGGGCCTTTGGGGCGGTTGCGATTTCATGCCTTTTCTCCTTCCCAGCGGTGAGGCTGCTCTAGAGTGGACTTGGGACCTCCTGTCATACTTTTTATGTAACAAATGTCAGCTCTGTGTGTCTATCCATCTGGTTGTGCATTTTACAAGGCTAAAAATAAGCCGGCTTTTCTTTGAAAACTTGAACCAGCCAGCTTTCCAGTTGAGAAGTAATGCAAGGATGCACTGGAGGTGACTTTCGTTCAGGGTTTCTCTCTGTGGATGAAGCCCAGAGAGGCTGAGCTGATCTGAGGGGGCAAAGGTGCAGACAAGCGTGTCTCCCACACAGAGCCGGGACCACTCAGAGCAGCTTCCCAGCCTGTCCCAGACCCCCAGTCACCCAGGGCTTGTGAAAAGGCAGCTAATGCAGCCGGCCCGGGGCAGGGCAAGAGCCCACATTCCCAGCTGCCCCCAGGTAGTGCCGGTATTGCTGGTCCGTGGATATACTTTGAGTGTGAGAGCTTAGTGAGTATACAGCTGGTACATAATGGTGAGGGAGGGCAGGAAAACCCATGAGGCACCGGTCCTTTGGTCCGGGCTCCTGATGGGCCTCAGGGGGATCTCAAACCCTCCTTATGACGGGGTTGCCAGTTGTCAGAGGGCGCCTCGCGTGTGAACTCTCTTCTAATTTGCTTTTCCTCCTCACTGTGCCTCAGTCCTCTTCGAAGGCCCATCCCTCTCCACCAGGGCCGTGCTCCTCAGTCCTCTTCGAAGGCCCATCCCTCTCCACCAGGGCCGTGCCCCTCAGTCCTCTTCGAAGGCCCATCCCTCTCCACCAGGGCCGTGCCCCTCAGTCCTCTTCGAAGGCCCATCCCTCTCCACCAGGGCCGTGCCCCTCAGTCCTCTTCGAAGGCCCATCCCTCTCCACCAGGGCCGTGCCCCTCGGTCCTCTTCGAAGACCCATCCCTCTCCACCAGGGCCGTGCCCCTCGGTCCTCTTCGAAGACCCATCCCTCTCCACCAGGGCCGACGGGCAGCTCATGGTTTACATCCTGCATTTTCACCCATCCCAGCAGCCCACACCGATTCCTTTACATGAGGTTGTGCATCTCTCTTCTGACCTGCATCCGAGGCGGGGCCACCTGGCATGTCCACTGGCGGGTTCCTGGGGGGTGTGGCCCTGTGCATCCAAGGTGGGGTGGTCTGGTGTGTCCACATGGGTTCCTGGGGGGCCTGGCCCCGTGCTTTTGGGCATAGCCTCCTGTGTCCCTGAGCCGGCTGAGGGACCTCATCTTCCCTGGGGCCCCCACACCTGATGGGCGCTCCCTGCTGTGTCAGGTAGGATCCCCTAGGGAGGAACCCGGGTTCTGGACCAGGCCTTTCGGGCCTCTCTAGAGCCCCTCGGGTCTTACATCAAGTAAGGGCCTGTGCCCTGTGGCCCTGATCCTGTCTCTTCCTGGTTAGGAAGCTCAGAGCTGAATCTGGGCTCACGTTAGTGAAGGACCAGGCCTTGTACTTGGTGTTAGGAAGCTTGGAGCTGAGTCTGACCAGGCCTTCTACTCGGCATTAGGAAGCTGCAAGCTGAGTCTGGGCTCACCTTAG